CACCTCTGCAGAGGAGTCCGTGGGGCTCCCTGGGGGAGGAAGCCGGCCTTTGCAGGACAGTGCACCTTCCGGCCAGCGGGACTCTGCCGCCTGAAGGCTGGCTCGGGTCCAAGCCGACCTTGTGCAGAAGGGCTGCTGGTTCTGGGCCATAAGCAGGGCTTGGGATGCTCCTGTCCCTAGGAGGCAGCTGGATTCTTCCCAGAAAAGGGGGTACTTGAGGGTCAGGTCACCACTCTCAGGACCGTGGCCCTTTGAGGTCGGGGGTTAGAGATTGACAAGCCAGGGTGGAAGGCATCCCCAAACGAGCCAGTTGGAGAGGTTCTGAGGGGTTGACAGCTATCCTAGGATGCCTGTCCATTCAGCAGACAAGGGCTCCCGCCCCCTCCCCTGCATTGAGGGAGTTTGTTTCTTCCAGGCTGTTTCTCTTGTTTCAAGGCAAGAACTCAGCCTTCCCTTGTGGGCTCATCTGTTTCTGTCTCTGGCTCCGGAAAGCAGAATTAATGCCCTATGTTACCTCACTTAACCCTTTTCACCTCATTACAGGGTTGGGGGCACTTCCTCCATTTTACTAAGGTTCGAAAAGGCTAGTAACTTGCCCTGGTCATACAGCCAACAAGTGTTGAACTCGAACTCAGAGGTGCCCATCTTGGTTACACCATCACTCAGAGCCTGGAGTTCTGCGCTGGGCGAGTGTTCTGGGTACGATTCTGTGCAGTTGCGTGTAGACTCTCCCGCTCTGCCCTGTGGCCCCGTCCTTGGAAGCCAGGATTCCTCGCCCTCTGCCCTTCTGACAGTTAGGGCCAGGGGATTTTTTGGGGGGTGGGCCTCCTGTGCACTGTAGGATATTTAGCAGCAGCACCCCAGGTTTTTACTCGCCAGATGCCAGCAGTGACTCCCTTCGCAGGTGTGACAACCAAAAATCAACTCGCCAAATGTCCCCTAGAGCAGCGGTCACCAACCGGTGGTCCGCGGACCACGGGTGCTCCGTGAGGTCCGAAAGGTTGGCGACCGCTGCCCTAGAGGACAAAACCACCCCCAGCTGAGAACTAACGGGGTGCGCAATCTTGGAGTAACGTTGCGGTGCGTCCTCCTGAAAAAGAACTTGGTGTAGGGACCGACAGCGGAGGGTGGCTGTATGCCAACTTGCCAGAAAAAAGCCGGTGCCGCATGGCGAGCTGCACCTGGGGCAGTCCCATGCGAAAGCCATTGCTGGGACTGAAAGAAAGCCCAGGAACTTGCATTTGGGGAGAAGTAAGGACGCATAGAAGGCCTTCCTGTCCTTCCCAAAATTGGTTAGAGCAGCGGTTCTCAACCTGTGGGTCGCGACCCCTTTGGCGGTCAAACGACCCTTTCACAGGGGTCGCCTAAGACCATCCTGCATATCAGATATTTACATGACGATTCACAACAGTAGCAACATTACAGTTATGAAGTAGCAACGAAAATAATTTTACGGTTGGGTCACAACATGAGGAACTGTATTTAAAGGGCCAGAAGGTTGAGAACCACTGGGTTAGAGATTTCTGGCGTGTTCACAGAGATTGAGGCTGGGATGGATGAACGGGGACACTTTGTACCATTACTTCCTCTGGCCTTGCGGGAGCTCTTTAAAAAGAGGCGTTTTGAGATGTGTCCCTTCTCCAGTGCCCCACAGGCTAGGAATGGTGGGGGAGGGGGAGGGCATGTTGTTAGGAGCTGCCCCTCTTCCCATAGGCCTGAAGCTCCTATTTAAGGCTGCTACACACACACTCCTTCCTACTACAAAAACTGGTGTTGCCTTGGCCTATCCTGTGTCTCCAACGGGCGCCGCCGCCCTGTGCCCACCCACAAGCTGATGGCCAGCACCTCTCCTGGGCATTGCCCTGCCTTGGCTGCTCGCCCAGCCCTTTCCTCTCTCGCAGTGTTTGGTGCTAGGCAAGGCTGGCTGGGCACTGGGCAAGTGTTGATTTGTTTTCAGACAACAGTGGAGGGACTTAATTCCTGTGGGACAGAGGAGGAGGTGGGGTGGGCTGGAAGTGAAGTGCAGACAGAAGACCCCTTGCTCTGTGTGAAGTGCAGACAGAAGACCCCTTGCTCTGTAGTCCCTTCAGGTACCTTCCCCACGCCAGGCCTCACCTCACCGATCTCGGGGTTTACCACACACCTAGCTGAGCCTCCTGTGGGTGCTTGAAGACCCAGCCGGAGCCTGTCTCGACTCCTGTGTTCTCACCCCGATCCCCACTGACCCTGCAGCGCTTGTCTGCCTCTCCCTGTTAAACAGGAGCTCCTGCAGGCCCAGGCCTGCCTGAGGCTTCTCTCCGCCACCTGCTCTCTCTGACAGCCCAGCCCGGGAGATGCTGAGCTGTTCATTGAAGGAATAGATGCATTTGCTGATGTCAGGAAGTGTCCTGCACGAGGCGGGACCTGTGGCCCCTTAGTGGCACAGCCCCTGGGTACACTACCAGTTTCCGAGGAGCAGCATTTAAAAGTTGGTGGCCTTTTCGCCCCAGTCAGTAGGGCAGAGGGTGAGAAACCGCTTACTGAGGCTGGCGTCCCTAATAGAGCAAATCCTTGGTTTTGAGCAGGGAGGGAGCTTGCTCAGGGCTCCGGGAACCTGAGGTGTGGCACTTGGATGTCTTCATAGGTTAAGGAGAAGCCGGAGGGGGCATCATCTCGAGATGCTGGCCTTGCTGTGAGCTCTCCCCGGGGACTTCTGGGCTTTGTTGTTCTTCAGGGTGGGACGAATCGCTTCCTTGTCTGTGCCGAGTCTTGGCCTGACGGGCTGTGGGGTACAGAGATGAGGCACCCTGAAGCTATCCAGTTTTGAATGGGAGAGAGGGCACTGATCCAGGGGGCCCCTGAGTACTGTGGGCCCCTGGGAGCGAGTCCCATAGGAGCTGAACATGGGGTGCTGGGCCTTCTCAGGACTTCAGCCAGGCCAGCCTCCCGGGATTTATACCTGGGAGCCCTCAAGGAGTGGGGAGAATGGGTTGGTCCGCCTGAGAGGCCAGCAAAGGAATGACACATCCCGTGCCTCATGCGCCAGGTTGGCTTAGGTGCTGGGCAGGTGGCTGTGGGGCAGAGTCTCTCTTGTGACTCAAATTCTAGTTCTTGCCAACCAATTAGCCATGAACCTGGGTGCTGGAGGTGGGGGCGGCGAGGGGCAAGCAGATGAGCGAGCAGGCCCTTCTCCATTTCAGTTAAGGCAACGGTCAGTTCTAGGAAAGTCACAGATGCCGGGTGGCCTCGGAACCCGAAGGCTGAGTGCAATGGTGAGGTGTGCAAGGTGGACAGGGAGGGCCCTCCGAGCCAGACGAGGGGCAGGAAGGACCTGGTGCCCGAGTGGGCCTCACGCATCTGTGAGGCCGGCCGTGGGAGTCTGCCTGGGTGGGCGCAGCCTGGAGAGTTCAGCTTTGATGTGAAGCTGTGCTAACGTCTCTAAAACCTTCCCCTCCCAGGTCAGGGAGCTCTTCGTCTCTTCTAGCGTTTAGGTGAGTCGTGGCTTTCTCATGTCACAGCCGTAAGGTTTTCTAGAGGAAGGAAAAAGTGTGCTCTTTGCTATGTAGACCCCATCCATCGAAGAAGGAGATGAATTCACTGGGGTGCATTTTTGTACCATTTTCAGGATTTCAGCAGAATAACAAGATAGGATGCAGGGCGAGTCGTGTGACAAAACTTCTGGTGACCTGATAAATTGACACATTTCGAGTGACTTGAATTACTTGGCCGTGGTGTGTGTGGAGGGGAGTGTGAAGTTAAAAATACTTTGACTGTCATGATTTACCGGTGATATATGTCAAGCTGTGACAGAACAGAGCAAAAGCAGGACCGGGCTTACAGACAAAGATAAGATCACGGTGCATGCTCCCCAGATAACCCCCCGCCCTTACCCCCTGGTAAACTCGAGCCGTCCAGCATCCTTCCTGATGCCAGCTGTAGCCCCTTTCTGTCCTTCCTGCATCTTGGTTAAACATTAAGACACCCAGTCACTGATTTGCCCCCAGTCCAGACTGAACCCTGCCTTCCCTGAACCTTCTAAGAAGGCAGCCCCAACGCCCTCCCAAGCCCCCTCACCCGCTCTAACCAAGACCCCCCACACTTCCTCCCTGCAGCACCTTGGAAATGCAGCTTCTTGCTCTCTTCAGGGGGCAGCGACATACTTTCCATTGTGGTTCCTCCTGGGCATCGCCTTAGAATGTTTCATGAAGCGCACAGCGTGCAGGATGTAGGAAATTCACCTCAGAGTCAAAGACGTGTGTGCCCTGCTCCTCCCTTTCTCCTTTGTTATGTAGTAGGTGGGAGTGGGA